AGGCTATACAGTAGCTGCATTCAGCTGATCATTTACGGCAAACAGCTGTCCCCAGCTCACAAACTCCACTTGCAGTGATGGCTTTGTCATATGAACACCTATCTGAAATAACAAACATCAAGACCACCCAATTAAGTTCATGTAGACTAACCACTAGGTGCCAGAGGGCAAAAATGATTCAGCAGCAATCAAACTCAGCTGAATATAAGCTAATATAGTTCAAATAAAAGATCTCAAAAGGCCTATTATGGCCTTTATAGTTTAGTTTCTTAATTCAAAGCCAAAATGGAATAGGGATGAAGCGTTGGAAGAACAGAATACACCCCAAAGCCTCTAGTCTCTAGTTAAATCTCTATCTGTGTAAGTGGGAATGTTAAAGAGAAAGTATTATATGGAAAAACAAGTTCACAAAGCAGCAGATGAGAGTAACTTGTGACTTTGAAGAAAAACTGCAACATCCCTCTGCACATAAATACAAGTCAAGTGTTACAAGAAAGCCATAAGAGATAAGGACCAGTATCTACTTCTCATACAATGATGTCAGCTCATTCCTCACAGTGAGCGATGTCATCTTTAACATCAGTTCTAGGAACAACATGATGGAAATGGAAAAGCACAGTTAGGTCATCTAAGTCCTCTTCTCCTTCCTCACTTCCAACCAATTCAGAGTAAATTTGCAAAGTCATATTCCTCACCAATATTTTTAATTGCTTAGGTGAAAACTCTTCAAGTAACAGAAATTCAACTCCTTCCTTTGTTGAGACAGCCCAGTCAATCAAGCTTAGCAATCCTGCTGGACTGACCTATGTCAGACCCTGCCTCAAGAGCTCAAGTTTTTAGATACTACAGCTAGGAGAGCTCAGGGCAAAGAGCGAGAAGACAGGATCTCCTAATGTGGCCTCCCAGAGTCAGGTTAGCATCTTGGCGAGGAAGGGGGAGGTTTTGCTGACAATGTATGCACAATCAACCTACGGGTGTAACAACATTCCGAAGAATCATTTAGTACCAATACCTTAAATAATTTATTTCCAAAAGTGTATCTAGCTTGACTCCTAATCTCTTAAATGATTCTTAACAAACTAATTGAGTCTACGGTCTCATTTCTCTTCAATCAGCAGAGCTGCAGTGTCATATGACTCAGAAGTCTTGGAACATGGAAAAGTCAAGGGAAATCCTGAAAATGTATCAGTTAGGCAATAAACTCTATAAGAAACATTTTTATTTATGCCAGCCTAAATAAACTTTGAAGCTCAAGAAAACAACGTTAAGAGTTCCAGAGAACTAAGGATCCACTGAAAGGAACATATCTCATTAGGACAATTTATTTAGCTCCTTCCAAATGCTGTTTATTGCTTCAAATACATGAAGTTTGATCAAAAGAAAAGTATCCAACATTTTCCCAATAACACAAAAGTGAACTCTGCTGGTTACTTCAATGGAGTTATGAATTGTTCTTCATGATTAGGACCAGGCTATTTTATCATAACTTCAGATATAAAGTAGTTATTTTCCCCACTACACCCTCTCTGCAAAATGTAGATCAATGCCAGCAGTTATGAAATGTGCACAGCACCAATCCCAGGCAAAGACTTACAGGGGGAAAACAGCAAAAACATTTAGTAGCAGCAAAAATTCCTGGGGAGTTCAAAAATCATTCCAGGGAATTCAAAGAAAAAATTCAAGAGCGAACCTTTATGTACTAGGGTGTACCCACTGACCTGGAGTATGACTACAAAGTGCATGGTTATGGGGTTTGTTTCACTTATAAACATCCATGTGATAGAGCCATGTCAAGCTTCCTGGTCAAAAACTTCCCAGAAATGTGATGTCCACCAAAGAGAGAAAGGTGCAAAATAGCTTCTGAAGATACCTTTGTTTTGCCAGTTTTGGTTATGGCTAGTCATAGAAGAATGTGCCCTATCCGTTGTTTGCTTAAATTCCTGGGATACTGTCAGGTGTATGACAGCATTAGGAAGGCATGTTAAGAAACTTAATAAGGAAGGAAAATAAACATCTCATATGGTCCATGGCATGGCGACGTTCACTGGGGAATGATATAGTTCAGTCTCAAAGGTGTTCCTGCCATGGTAGGGGGATTAGAACAAGATGATCTCTGAGATCTCTTCCAACCCAAACCATTCCAGGATTCTATGAACTAAAAAGTAAATGAGATTTTAGGAACTCGTTTCAGAAAAAAAAAAAGGTACCTGTTCACACCAAGTACAGTAACACAGTGGAACTCACTACCACAGGACACAGCAGCTTCACAAAGTGCATGTGGGTTTAGGAAAGATTAGCTAAATTTATAGAGCCTAAACCTCATTACTAATCAGACAAATAATGAGTCAAATGGATTTCTGCTCTAACCCACTACCGTTCCTGTATCAAGCAGCAGGCTGCACCTCTTGCAGTCAGGTGGCTGGAAACAGTTCTAGAAATCCTGGGAGTGTTTTCAGGAAAAAACAACCAACTAAACTAACTACATATTTGCAGAGGTTGGCAGCAAATTCCTGGAGAGAGTTTTACAGTACAGCAACAGACTTTGGGATGCTTTGAAAGGGATCTTATTTGAAAGCGGTTCCTTTGAAAGAGGCTGCACTGCTCACTGGAGCAAGCAGTAGCTTGGTAGGAAAGGTTATTTCACATATGGTATAGAAAATAAAAGCAGAGGTGAGGATTTAAGACAAACTACTCAGATCTATGACACTTCAAAGAAGCTTTGCTGGTAGCATATTTGGTGACATTTAGCAGTCAGGAAAGCTGGAGAGACTGAAGGCCACAATCACAGCCAGGCACACAGTGTAGGCAGACACTGTGTAGAACTTCCCCAGGCAGCCCTGTCAACACATCTCAGCCCTAACATTCAGTGCTCATAACAATCCCATTTTGGCCTTCTCCTCAGCAACACTGGGGGCCACATTTTCGAAGAGTCTAATTTTATGTCATGAAGTTCTCATCTAGCCAACTGATTCAACACTCTGCGAACCAGGTACAGTGAGCAGTTATTTTTAGTTGTCACAACAGAAGCAGAATGGGAATTTCACTTCCAACTTTGCAAAGACTTCAGATATTCTCAGTTAAAAAGGATATAACCTGACGTTCAAAGTCATTGTAAAATTCACCCTCCTTGGCAAAAAGTGAGAACACTTGCATTATATGAGGCTGAATTTCAGCTGTTGGATGCTAACATGAACCTTTGCTGCTAGCCCTAAATCATGTAATACATTGTCACGTTATTGTGATTAGCACTGAAAATAAACCATTGCTCTTCGTACAATTCCTTTCACCCTCCTCCTACTTTGCAACCAGTATAGAAGCAGTAAGCAAAGACTCAGTCACATCTCTCTCCAAAGCTAGAAGGAATAGCACTACACGTCCACGTCTCAACTGATTACAACCACTGCCATAATAAATGTTACTGTTCCTCCTCATGAGCTCACTGAGGTGCTAGTGAGTTAAGCAGTGTAAGCTTAAGCAGTTTAAGAGTATGTCTTTGCTAGTCCACTCAGAATGCAGGAACTGTCGCGTGAGCAGCTCAGCAGATACTGAGGTAAAAAAACCCTCTCTTAAAGATAATAATCTCTTTAGCTGATACGTCAGGAGCTGAAAAGGGACACATGAACAAGCCCTGTAATGCCCTTTGCCAGGCAATCTCTGCTACAGGCTGGCATGTAGGCTAAGGTGAATTGTATCTCCTACCCATTTGCCCATGGAGGGAACAAGCCCTGCAATAATAGTTGCTCTCCCTCTTTGTACTACAGCAATTATGTCAGAGGGCTTTGAGGCCATAGCACAGGCTTACACTTCTGGTAAATCTGTACTATGTAAGTCTGTGCATTTAGAAGAACCCATAATCTGGCCCTTCCTCATCAGTCAGGTACTGATATTGCAGACCTGACTGAAATATAAGTATGTTTTGAACACAGTGGATTCATTTAAAGTTTTTACAGCTTACTTTTTAATATTTGTAAAATGACTGACATATGATACTCATGGCTCAAGAGGGAAAGAACTGGTAGATGGATATTCCTATTTCATTATAGCATCCACAAACATTAATTACCCACTATTATCATTAATATGTCAGTACCTGCTTCTACCAGTTAATTCCTTCAACTTTCCCCAATATACACCATGCTATCATACGATGTTTCATCTTTGTAAGTACAGGAGACTTCGCCTGCTTGAAACTGGCAGCAAGTAATTTACATTTGGGCTTTGTTAAAATGACAGCAAGTGTCATTGAGATCAAATGTAAAAGCCAGACTGGAGGAGGCTATAAAAAATTCAAGTGGCAAGCATTTCTCCTTTTATCTGACAGCTATTATTAAAAGGCTGTATGTCATCCTATAACACATGAAATTTAAACACGAGAGACAGAGGTAGAGTTCCACATTATGAACAGAGCACCTTCCCTTTACAGACGCTCTGCTTCCTACAGATGGGACAGAATTAAACTGAAGATCTACCTGAACAATTTCTCTACCAGCAGCCAAAGACATCACACACCCCCTCATTGCTGGATGCAGTGCCCCAAAGGCAGTCCCTCTGGCCAGGATGCCTAGTGCTTAGATGAAGCTGTTTTCAAATTGCTATAAATCTGCTCCAGAAGTAGCACCTACACGCCTGTAAGCATGCCCAGCTACAGAGCAGGAAACACACCTCCATAACTATGTCCTAGGGTACTTCAAGGACTCATTCATAACCTGCAGTTAAATTTGTATGTGTATCTAACCTTAAAATTAGATAAGAAAGGCATATGAAATATTTCTATCAGGAAACTCTGAATTTCAACAAAATCAAAGATATTACTAAGTAAGTGAGAGGAAACAATGAACCTTCAAACATTTTCAGCCCAACTTATGGCTGACCTTACTTTGCAAGCCTTCGGGCTCAATACTAAGGCTGAAGACTTTTGTTTTAGAAATTTTGTTCTCAAATTAACAAACAAAGGGCATTAATCATTAGTCAAAACACAGCACAGTTTCATATGTACTCACCTCCTTTATCCACAGCAATTTAGGTGGCTGCATTTCCACAGACATCACTCCCCCTACATAGCTCAAAACTCTGTGTTGCGTTGCATTGATGCGCTCAACTTGACTGACTGCACGATGGTCCATCCACATAATGACATTCCTATGGTTTTGACCTTGGGGGAGAAGACAAAAATAAGGGATTATTTTAGGTTTGGTTTAACCCCACCTCAGTACTGTAAGTTACTAGACTCTAAGCTGCTTCACACTTTCACTTTATAAAACTGTAAATCTGTGCAATAAACCACAGTAGATATTGAAAGACACATTGCTAGCTCTCTGAGCCAACTTTAAGACATGCTGAGCACTGACAATGCTGACTGAAACCAATCAGGCTGTGAACATCCAAGGACTTTGCAACACCATGCTCTTGTAGACTGCATTTCATTCAAAGAACCCAATCTTCTTGACAAAGTACATATATTGAGTTAAAAATATAAAGAAGGAATTTAGTGACTAACAACTAAACACAACATTATAATCTGAAGTTAACTCAGCTAGTCAGCTAGTGAGCTGGTTACATGGATTCTCTTCCCTCTTCAAGTGTTATGAGAAGAACTACCCTAATTCCTTTCAGGAGGGTAATTTGCTGCAGTGCCTTTATTTTGGATGTGGAATGAAAAAGCATTTGGCAAGTCTGCAGAATACATGAGAACAAGGAGAACATCTTACCAAAGTTAACCTACAGAGGACCTGCTAGACAGGTGGACTAGTAATCCAGATGACACTTGAGATTCCTCATGCTAAATTGAATCTTGAAAACATACTCTAAGACAAGGTAGAGGTATGAGACACACCACTAACATGATCTGAAACACAACTTAGAACTGTGAGACAACCACACCATGTCCATACCAGTGTGACAGTATTCAGTGTGTTCTTGTCTTTTTATTTAACACCACCACTATGTAAACTCAAAGTTCTTGAGGATATCAGAGAACAAAAAATGAGAACTGAATTTGACTCACTAGCCCAAAATAGCCCCAGACATCATTAGGCATTGAACAGAATGTAAGAGACTCTCAAACTGAAAAACAAATACTCCCATCTAAATTTAACAAAGGACATTTTGGGGGGCAAAGCTGGGGCTTTGTGAAGGGTAGGAGGAGATGACAAATACAACTGAGAACAGACAGGGAACATATACAGAATTGTGATTATGGCCCTGTAACTACTGAGTTAGCACACACCTCATCTTAAATGGGATCCAGTGAAAAAATCATCACAGACTTTTTGTCTTATGAATCATCTTCTCAAATACTAATTAAAAAATTACAATTTTTAAAGGAACATCACAGACTTTCTGAAGTTTAGCACTGTCCCAAAGACAGAACACCAGGGTAGTAAGATACACAAGCTGAATCTCTTGCCTGCCGCCCCATAACAGAGTAAGCTGTTAGACTATACTCACACTAACATTTTCAGCAATCCTTTAGCCAGTGTGGATGGGCATTTATAAAAGCTGTGATTAGTGAAGTCTGAAGGAGGAGAAAACATGCAAGAAAGAAAAACGAGCATAGACTTCTCTAAGAAGCAGTCTCTTTGAGCCAAGATGAATGAATAGGATCTTAGGATGCTGAACATTTAGCCAGACTAAGCAATTCTCATCTCAGATCTAATTTTGCACTAGAATTAAAACAGTAAAACTCTCACAAAAAGGATTTCCTGCCATCTATATCTCCAATAGTTAGCCCTGTAACTTGGCATTTGGATGAAATTGTTTGCTCACATCAGTGGTCAGTCATGCACAGTAACACCAGCTTTTGTGCTGGAGTCCTACCTTCACAGTTGACTGCCAAAGGTTGGAATTGTTTATCCACAACAACAAGGGAACATGTAGCATCAAACCCAACCCCTCGAATGTGGCTAGCATCTACTCCAGAGATGACTTTCTGTAAATATACAAAACACACACGAATACAAACATTATCCATATATATGCAGGTGCTGTGTGAACTGATGAGTACAGAAAATGAGTTACAAATTATAAGATCAAACTCTAAAAGTTCTGAGATTCAGTATTCTTTAACACCTCCAATCAAAAATACACCAAATTACCAAAACTCTTTGGTTTTCAAAACTAAATTCAAAGGTCCATGAAGTTCTTTAACAGCTTTTTAATTTTACTAGCCACAGTCCTGCACAAAAGCAGGAAGCACAAAACCATCAGAAAATAAAGCTAGCAGAAAACCAGCAATGTGAATTTTCTTGCTCTTTTAAAAGCTTGGAATTCAGCTCCAAGTGAAGCATGGGCACAGGATCAGGGTCAAGCATTCCCATCAGTTACCTCACTCAGTTCCCACTTGTGAAAGCTTTGTAGAATTGCTTTGTAATATTGCGCCACAGCTTTTTGTCTTGCAATAGCAAAGGGACCCAAAACTAAAGTTGATCAAAAGCTGTAGCAGTGATAATACCTCTGTAAGGCACACCTTTCCAAAGGCTCTGTTACCAAGAGTCTGGATAGTATACTTTCGGGAAGATTTTCCAAAACAAACAAAAAACTCACTGCCCCAAAGAGGCTGAACTTCATGGCTTCCAGCAGCACTGGAAAAAGAAACACAACACCCACATGGATTAAGTGCCAAATGAGGTTGCAAGACACCTAAAATGTAACACTATAATAAATTGTCACTTCTCAGCAACAATAAAAATATCATTATTTTAATTAATACTATAACGAAAGACTTTCACTACAGTGCCAGTCTCTTACTGGCTCTGTAACAGTATAGTTCCAAAGCCTGTATTTTATTGCTTACATATAAGAGATCGTATTTAAACAGGTTCAGAGCAAGAATAAAGCAATTCACAAGGAGAAAAATCAAGTAAGTAGAATAAAAGACTCTCTCTGCTTTAACATCAAGGTGTTCTTCCCTGTCACTCACTTCTTCCTACCCCCTCACCTCAACTCCTTCATCTCAGGGCATTTCTGCAGAGCCAAGCTCATGAATGTTTGAAAAGGCTGATCAATAACAAGGGAATGGGTGAACTGTCCACCTGCAAATTACCAAGCACATCATGAATATTTAAAAAGCCAACCTTAGAACATGGAGCAGGCCAGGGCTTTATTAAGACAGATGAAATGGTCTATATGCGCATTGCCACACAAGGTCACTCATTTACTTTTACCACCAGCACATATAGGCAGCTCTTTGGATCAGAGGGTACAAAGAGGTACAAATTTTCCCTTTTACTAAGGTTTATTTCAATTCATGGTTATGTTTGAGACTATCCACAAACATATATAATTTATTTTGGCCTTATAATACTGGATCCTCTTATAATGAGGATCACAGGTAAGAGACATTAATGGTAGGCACCATTTACAAACCGGATTACAATTTCTCTACAATAAATACTGCTTTGTGACTCCAATGGAGCACAATGCACATCTTTAAATATATGCATTACCAGGTTCTGAGCAACTTCTGCTCCTCAAAGAACTGTCTTGTGGATATAACGTACATGACAGAAACAAAACCCACAGATGTGACTCTTGCGGGCAGTGGGCAAGTACTTCACCTGAACTAACAGTGAAAAGGAAAGCCTTTCATTCCGTTTTCAGTTGTAGCACAAGCTTGTTTTACTCTGGCCTCAAGTTCCTCACCTGTATCACATTCACTGAGACTATATCAGCCATATCCTCAAGATAGCTTTAATGCACAAGGATGGTTACAAGTTATACAGTAATACAGCAAGCACAAAACTGAATATTAAATGCTAGTGACTAGAAGACCTCAAACTTTCCAAATTTGAGGAGCTACCTGCAACATATCTCCTTCATTTTCTTTTTCTTCACGTACCTTTGTGACTGAGCAGCAAGCAGCCCATATGTCCGCAGAGGATTGCTCATAGTGGTCTGGTTGGGGCTCCCAAATTTGGATTGGCTGCTCTGCATGTGCCACCACTGTCCCAAGCCCATCGACCAATGCTGCGCGAACACTTGCTGAGCCAACGTCAATTCCAACATAGTATTTTTCTGGAGTCTGTTTCTTACCATGCATTTTTAATACAACCTGTCAGGAGAAATAAAAAAGGTGTTAAAAACAGATAAAATGACTGATGATGGAAAACTGTATACAACAGGATGAGATGCTGTAGAGGCAGTTCGCTTATTTTTTTCAGTAAGTCTTCACTTGGCATTTAATTGCTTTGAGTGCTCAAGTTTTGCACTACTTGTACCTTTTTTATTCAAATGTCTGTGTGTAAGTTACATGGCACAGAAGCTCCTGAAAAGCAAACTATAAATGTGCATGAATGCAATCAAGGAAATGAGCTGTGGTCATATAGTATCATGTCTACATAAAGGGGAAAAGAGAGAAGGAGATAGGAAGGGAAAGGTACAGTTTCAAACTCAGCAGAAATCAGGAGCTGGTGCTTTACACAGAAGGGATATTTCAACCCGGAAACTCCTGGGATTTCCAGCATCAGATGCCTGCTAAGTTGAATTCACCTCTAGAAAGGACAACAAAAATCACCACAGGTATGTCGTTGCCTCAGTGCAAACAAATTACACTCCTGAAAGCAGTGAAAGGGGCGGTGCGATGGGCTCAGCTGAACCCTCACCTGAAAAGGAAGGGCAAGCCAAGAGCTGCTGCCTCCCGCACAGCCAACCAGCTCCTGAGTGGCATATTCCTGCTGAATGAGCCAGCAAGTCAGGCTGAATGTCTGCAGAACCTGAACAGTTTGCCTCCCCCAAAAAGCGGCCTGATGCTGATAATTTTATGTGGCATCTGGTACACCTTACCCAATTTGGGGGAGGGAGGAACCACATGAAGAAAAAACTGGTTCAGTTTTTAAGAGCTATCCAGCATCAATCCACACCATTGTGAAGATTCAGAAAACTATTTGCTGAAAAAGTGTCTCTGGCAACCTACAAGAACAGAGTGAGGTTAATTATTCACACTGAGTTGCTGATTTCACTATATTACGGTTAACTATCTGACATTTAATACAGCAACAAATGCACTGTACTTAATTTCTCACAGTTTGTCCCTAATTAATAGTTAACATCTACATTTTAGTCAAGCTGGGATGATACTAAGGAAGAGCTTATACAAAGTATTTGAAACATCAGACAAGTACCAAGGTTAGTGTTCATGTGAATCGTTAAGCCTCTGAAACACACAAAACTCAGCTGAGACATAGCTTCTGATTTCCAGAAAATGGATGGATCAATTATGATGTGATGAATACTCAGTATTTACACAGCATCAACATGGCTCTACCTAAAAACAGCCCACCTCTCCCAAAGAAATGACCTGCATTACTTCTGTATATGAAAGATGGGTTGGGAGGGCTATAGGCAAAGGGGGAAAGATTTGGGAAGCACTGCTTAGTAATACAATATGATTACCCACATTTCAAATTAATCCTGGGGTTATTTTTAATAACTAGAATTTAGCAGCAAACATACCAAAACCCTGATAGAAACAGCAGTGGAGCAGAAATTGGTGAAAGTCCTCTCCCTTCAGACAATACTGATCATAGAGGCACATAAATTGTACTCAACTTTGGAAGCAATGTTTTTTACTTGTTTTATTTCTACAAGGCAGAAAACCAAACCTTTCTTTCCCCACTACCAAAACATCTTGAGTGCAGGTCAACATCTATCCTTGGGTATCACTTTGAATCACAGAATCAACCAGGTTGGACTTGATGATCTTAAAGGTCTTTTCCAACTTTACCCCAGGACTGCCAAGTCCACCAGTAAACTATGTCACTAAGGGCCTCTACATGCTTTTTTACCAATTCCAGGGATAGTAATTCTACCAGTGCCCCGGGCAGACTGCTCCAATGCCTGACCACCCTTTTGGAGAAGAAATATTTCCTAATCTCCAGTGTAAACCTCCCCTGGGGCAGCTTGAGGCCGTTTCCTCTTGTCCTGCCGTTTGTTACTTGGAAGAGACTGACCCCCACCTCACTACAACCTCCTGTCAGGCAGCTGTGGAAAGCAATAAGGTCCCCCCTGAGCCTTTTCTTTTCCTGACTAAACTTCTCAGTCATTCCTCATCACACTTGTACATCAGCTCTGTTGCCCTTTTCTGGCCCTGAACATAGTATTGGCACAATATAAGTGGCTGTTCACATCTACAGTTGGCTTGTAACCACCACTATGGATGGCTTTTACAAATTTATAATCACTGAGATTTAGAGGTAGCAGGTGAAATAAAGAATTAAAGAAAGGGAGACCCTTACCTCAGAAAACTCCAAGCATCATTCCAGATAATAACTAAGCTAGGCAATAGCTGAATTACAACAAAGTTTAATTTAAAACAGCATAAGCCAACACTTTGGCTAAAGAAACCTGCCCAGCTTTCCCTCATCCTGCCCCTTAAATGGTTCATAGAAATGTGGTTAGTCTGTGGAGATGCTGCCACAACCTGTCCCATACAATCACTTTGTACTGCCTGAATCTACCATTCCATGCCTAGACACCACTGCTGGGGGCCAGGGACAATTTTTAACTTCTCTGCTTAGCATCAGCATGAAGGAGTCCTCTCCATCACTAAAGCTCCTGAGCAACCTGGTACAAACCAAAGCAGGTACCACACCACATTCTGCACCATGGCAGGGACACTAGAGGAAGTTGTACAGAGCGTTAGCTTCTAACAACATCAGAAACAAGACAAAAATCAAAGCTATAGAACATACTGCAGCACTGATGGCAATACTAGCTACTCTCTTTCAGCACACTGATTCTCCCCAGTAGCTTAGGTGCAACACACACTAATCTTGTTAAGCAAGGTCATCTGTTCAAGCAATGAGCAATCAGCTAAAAATAATGGTGTGCCATGAGCCTAACACCCAGGCATATTGGCAAGAAAGCTGGCTTTATTTTCTTGGCCCCGGCTCTATGACCTGGTCAGATTAACAAAAGCTAATGCCTCTGACAGAGAGAGGACAATTCTCCTGATATCAGTGATTAATACTGCATCTGTCAGCTGGGGATACTTACAGCACTCTGCATCTTCCTTTTAGCCCTTGGCTGTAAAAGCAGTTTTAAGACATTCTTTTCAACAGATGATGATCACTTTTTAATTCTCCTCACAGCTTAAGAGGCTGGCTGCAGATGCTGCTGGCTACTTGCAAGAAACTGTACTATGAAGAAATTGCCTAAGACTATTCCTGATACTGTCTCACGAATTTCCCTGTTTTTCCCCTATTTCGGCACTGCCTTTAGCTGCTGACTCATAAAAGATGAGAATAAACCACAAGCTGCAAAGCAGATTATTTTTTTTTTAACATAGGCAAATCTTTCTTACTTGCTTTTCACAAAATACAACTAGCAAAAGGAGTATTTTACATCCTGCCTCCTTCTCACACATACAATGTTACTCTAAATTTTTATTTCTCTTCCTTGTATGGCAGCCTTGATTTTAGCTCATTAATGTGTTTTTGCTACTTGGAGAATAAGCTTAACAGATGTTAGAGCATTAAGCTCATAGTACCTCCTACTCAGCACTTAAAATTATGGCTTTGCATTGGATTCTTCCCACAAACATTTGAAACCTGGAACCCAATAAGCCCATGTAATGTTTACTTTCCTTTTTTCCTTACTAAGCAACCAGGATGTGCATGTGCGAGTGACTGGGCAGGAAGCAGAGTTTGTTTCTATGCTCAAGCAGCACAGATCAGTTTATGTGGAGCCACTAGTTTAATTCTGTAAATCAGTGAACATAAGAAAGAGTTAAGTGACAAAGTCCAAACTATTTTAACTGGTCTTTCTCTGAGTAAAGCTCACCTAGATTTACAAAACAATAGTTTGATATCTTACCAAGAAGGGTTCAGAGTAAATATTAATCCCTTTTTTCAAGCACTTAGTTACTGAGGCTGTTCAAAGTACAGCGTCTCTGCAATACGATCTCATCTGCTGACAAAACCACGATTTGATGCCAAGGTTTCTTCTGGAATACCAATCACTTGGCATGCCACCTACTTGTCAACCAGACCCACAAAAAGTACTGTCATCTTTAGGTTGTAAGTATTACCAATTAGGGACTCTGTCCACAGGTATCTTTCCAGTACCTGAGAACTCAGCAGTGAGGTTGGTCGAAAATCTTTACCCAAAGTACTTTAATAAGAATTTAAAGAGAAATGTTACCATTCAGTTTTGTTTACAGGAGATTCCTTTGGTACAAGAGGAAGCTCCAAATCAGAAATGAAGAAACTCTTTAATGGAGTTCAGAGGTAGTAGAAGGTCCCAGCACAAACTTCTTGCTTTGGAATCTGGACACCAACTTTCATTGCCATGCACGAAAGAAAACTTTGGTCTGGATTTTGTATCTACTGGGTTCTTAGCATACAGCTTCTGCAGTCAATACAATCATGAGGAAAACAGTGAACCAGGAAAACAACTAAAATAAAAAGCCCTAAAGGTCCAGTCAGACAAGTCAATTCCTTGCACACGATATTCCTAAGACACCAAAATGTTTGATGCATATTTATGGATTTCCCGTGGTGAAGAGCAGTGGTGATAATACCTTCTACATCCCTGAAGTATATCTACCTCAGGAAGCCTGGCTTCTTGCAGCCAAGAAAAAGGCCTCCAAAGCTTCAAAGCAACTTTGCCTGTTCATTGCAGAATAAGGGCCTCACATTTACTTCTTATTTTAATTTGAAAACAGAAAGAAAGGGAGAGAGAGGGGAAAAAAAATCATTTTAAAAAGACAATTCCAGCTTGACTGTGTTAGTCCAGGACTATAACTACTAATACAGGACAAGAAGCCAAAATTCTCTCCAAGCACTAAAACAGCAAAGGTCTCTGCAAATCACAGCAGGGACAGAATGGCTTTTCAAACAAGCATTTATGATCAAAGGGCTACAGCATATGATAAATATTTATATGGCCCATTAAATAATAGTCTGTATAAATATTATTCAAAATGTGCATGCTGGAAACCACAGACTTCCCAGTTTATCCTTAAACAAATGTGCTAGTTTTCCCACATAGGCAATGAAAAAAAGGACAGGAGAAACTGTCATTTGCAAAAATTTCTTTATAAAAAAATGAAAA